ACTTCATGTGACACGAATTTCGAATTTATTTTCACATATAGAAAAGCAGCCTCAGGGAAATGTCACACGACTATTAATATTAATGTTAATATTAACATTAAACCCGTTACGACCCGGTAATCCGTTAACTACCGGATAAGGTCTTAACACTAATTATGGAATAGAGATGTCAATGCAGCTTGGAAACATCAACACATCTTCCATCATATGTGTGAAAATCATGGGGACTTTTCAGCAGAGGTTAATTCCAGTAAGGCTAGATCACTCATACACATACTCTCATATATATAATATGGTTTTAAGCAGGTAATGCCAACCCTGGTAGCATTATATTTTTAAAAGTAGGAAGTTCATACTTTCTAGGTTAGTATTAATTTATAAATATTTTTTAGAAATTTGTCAATAATTTATAATAATATTCTTTGGTTCATTACATTCTCACTGTTAATTAATCAAATAAAAAAGACATACAATGATAATTAAACAAAAATGAATTCTATAACAAAACATTGATCATATTATTAGTTCTATATGAAATAATCACGTCATTTGCGGCCTTTCTTTCCTTCAGCTTGTTGAGCTAATCCATGTCCAGCGTCTTTAATATGTGTAAATAATTTATTCCTTGTAGGAAAAGATTGCGAACACACATTGCATTTATTCTAATTATTAAATGAAAAAAAAACAAATAAATATTTGTTCCATTAAAAAATTTTTTTATAATTATGTTAATTACCTGATCATTGCCAACCTTTTTTTTGTTTCTCTTTTTCTCTTTTTTATTACTATTTTTATTATTATCATTATTTTCACCCTGGTTGAGTTTTTTAACATCATTTAAGAAATATGGAATTGCTGTATTAGAATCATCATCAGATTCAAAACCACGAGAGGAAATTTTGGTTTTATCTAACAACTCTGAAATATCTGAATCTATTTCATCATCTTTTTTAGATTTGTTATTTGATTCTATCTTTACATGTTGATCCATATATTCTTCATCATATATCCGGCTATTTACTTTCTTCTTTTTTTGTTTTTTGCTTTTTTTTGAAGTTGAAAAATATATATTATCTTCGATATCAACATTATTTTTTGAAGAAATTTCAATGTTTTGTAGTTTTGACTCCACGTTGACATTGGCATTATCATCGCCCGAGATATGATCAATTACATCTTCTTCATGATTTGAATTCGCGTCAATTAATTCTTCCTCTTCATACATTTCTGCTTTCAGTAATTCAATGTTTTTTAAATGTTTGTTGCTCTTTTCATGATCCTTCCATGATCCTTCATTTTTATAACTTTTATTACACGCAACACAAAAGAGTTCATTATTTATTTCTTCATAATACTCATCATCGTCATCATCATCCTCTTCAATTTTAGTCCAATCCTGTTCTTGATACTCTTGCAATTTTGCAATATAGTTTGCACGATCTTTTGCTGCACGCTTTTTCATATCGGCTGCCAAAGTTTCTTTTTCCTTTTCCGAAGCTTCCTTATACACCTTATATCGTGGATCTCTTTTTTGCACAAACATCACCAATAACTGATTACAAATATAAATCGTTAAAAATATATTTTGTATTAGTGCCATAAATTATTTTAGGCCTACTTACCCGTACAGTGTCATTGTATTCTTTACGACCAGTTTCTCTAGCTTTCTTATTGTCAATTTCCATCTGTCGTTTAATTCGACGTTCTGTTGCCTACTTTATTAACATTAAATATTTATATTTTTTAATTTTTTTTTTCAATATCAAAAAAACACACATATGCATATATAATATTAATTACACCAGCATTTAGTAAGAAAGACTTACCTCTGATAAACGATATTTGTCACACCATTTAAAACTTTTATGTGTTGAAAAATTTAACCATATACTATAAAAAAGTTTAATTGGGTTTTCACAACTTGAGGCATTCATATTATGCGATGTCATGCTAGTTCCAAAAGGTGGATATGTATAAGATTCATCTGAATTTTCTCCGCGATCGTATAAGAATGCTTGTTTTTCTTCTTCAGCTAATTTTTGAAAGAGTTCTCTGTACACAGTATAGAAACCCTAATATATTTTTGTTATAATAGGACGATAATATTTTGTTTATTATGGTGATTTTAAAGATTAAAAAAATCTTATCAATTAAATAAAAAACCTTTGAACTATCATCAAATCCTTTATAACAACTAGCACTAAAATATTTCATTAAATCTTCTATTCTTGTTCCTCGTACTATATTTGTATATCTGCTTCCTGATGCATATTCATTATCAGAGCTATCATCCTCATAATCGCTATCATCATCTATTATGAAATGATTAATATTACATTATTAATCATTAAAAAATTTGGAAAATTATAGACTAATAATAGTCAAATCAATACTCGCCCTCTCTTAAAATGGCATCACGATGACCATCATACCTATTTTGTAATAAAAGATCAAGCGATATAATATGTAAATATAAAAAAAAAATCAAGTTAATTATTATTATAATAAATGTCGCTAACCAAGTTCTTTCGTTAGGATCAGATAAAACTTCATAAGCTTCTTGAAGAAGAGAAAATTGTCCGGTTGCTTCTTCAATCCTATGATGGTTTTTATCTGGATGCCATTCCAATGCTCTTCTACGATAAGCTTTTTTAATTTCATCTTCGGTTGCATTGGTTTGCACCCCAAGAAGTTCGTAGTAACAAGTACGCATTTTATTAAAATAAAATATTATTTAATATTAAATTTTGATTGTGACCGCAGCAAGCGTCTTTTAAAAAAAAATTTCTTTTTACGTGAATGAGAGATCATTGTGTAAATCATAAGAGATTATGGATGATTATATATATCAACCATTATCTGTTACTGAAGAAAATGCCGACGAACAGGTTTTAATTAAAGATGGAACTCTGTAAGAAAAAGAAAAAAGAAGTTGGTAATTTCTTAAACTTCTTGTAAATAATTTCTGTTCTTGTTAATCTATTTAGTACAGCAAAAAAACCGGTACCAATTGAGGCTATTGAACGTAACCATTTGGAAAACAAGACACGATCATCCTTTGATCGGGTATTTTTACGCAGATTTTTTCGACTTCTCAAAATATTGTTTTCAGTAAAAACACCAGAGGGCAATTGTATTTTTATATGTTTTATGTTGATGTTAACAAGTGCTATCAACGAAATCTTGGCATACTTTGTTGGAAAAATCCCTTCAAAATTTTACACAACGTTGGTTGGAATTGATGGTGCACATTTCAAGACATTATTGGTTTATTCAACATGTATTGTTTTATTAACTGGTTTGGTAAGTGGATTTCAAAAAAAAAATAATTGATTCCAAGAACTAGAATAATGGATAAAATTGATTGACTGATTTTATGTTTTAAATAGGGAAGAAGTATAATGTATTTTGTTGGTGGGCTTTTTGAATTGTTGACAAGAAAAGTTTTAACAAGACATTTACAAAATAAATATGTTAAGCCAGATATATTTTATAGAATACTAATTACAAGACATGATGTTGATAATCCGTATGTACTATTATAATATTGATATTTAAATATTTCATCATCCTTATTATTAATTCTAAATATTATTATTATCAAACCTAGAGATCAGCGTATAACTCAAGATGTAGACAATTTTTCTAAATCATTAAGAATAATTTGTCAAAATACAATACTTGCACCATTTTTAATAATTTATTATACTTACTTGACATGGAATATTAGTGGATATTTGGGACCATTAATCATTTATTTATATTTCATATTCAGTTTGTTTGCTTGTCGATTTTTAATAAATCCGATTTCAAAAATAATTTTCTTGAAAGAATTTCACGAAGGAAATTTTAGGTAGTAGGGGGATTTTTAAAATTTAAATGGTTTTTATTCACAATTAAATTAAAAATTACAACTCAAAAAAAAATTGTTAAATTCTTTAGATTTCTACATGTAAGAATCCGTCAGTTTGCTGAAAGTATTGCATTTAGTTGGGGTGAAAAAGTAGAAGAGGCTAGATTATCAAAATTTTTTGATTCAGTTCTTAATTATCAAAGACAAAGGATTGACAAAGAACTAGTGTTACGATGTATTTATTAATAAAATTTTTTAAAAAATATATATATTGTTTTCAAATTACTAATAAACAAAAAATACAATTTTTATTATAGCTTTAACTGAATCAGTTGCATACTTTGGATCAATACTGAGCTATCTTATTATTTCCATTCCTATTTTTTTAGGCGAATACGATGATACCGATAAAGATGTACTTAGTGGATTAATTAGTTTGGTAATAAATAAAATAATTGTTTTTTTTAGCTTCACAATAAATAAATTATATATCGATAAAAATTATTATTACTTTAGAATGCTTTCTTCACATTATATCTTATTGGTAAATTTACAAGTTTGATCGAAGAATCAACCAATGTTTCGAACTTGGCAGGGTTTACTGCACGTATAGGACAATTATTAGAAGCACTTGATGATGTTAATGATGATATTAATGGTGAATTAAACAATATAAATATTAAAGATCAATCATTAGACCCAAGAGAAGCAACGGGAGAATTCGTAACATCAAGGTGAAAATAATAATATATTAAACAAAGAATCTTATTAAAAATTTTGATTTTAATAATGCTCTTCAAATTTAAATATAATTAAATTGTAAAAAAAAAGATCCGAATCATCATCAATTATATTTGATCAAGTAACATTTGATACACCATCAGGCGCAACACTTTTAAAGGATTTAGAAATTGTTATTGAACAAGGAAAAAATTTAATGTTAATTGGCCCAAATGGTAGTGGTAAAACTTCAATCTTGAGAGTTATGTGTGGTTTATGGCCAACGAATAAAGGTCAAATAACAAGACCGAAAATGAATATGAATTCAAGACAACATTTATTAGTTTATTTGCCTCAAGTTCCTTATTTAGTATATGGATCTTTAAGAGATCAAATCACATATCCAGTGATCAATGATCCTAAACAACAAAATAGTATGTGTATCACACATATATATACTTGCATACTATTATCAATAATTATAAAATGATAATAAGATTTTATTAATTTATATATTAAATTGTTATTATAGTTTCAGATCAAGAATTGAATTCATTATTGGAAAAGGTAGAATTAACACATTTAAAATCTTTAATACAGAATTATGATTCGAGATATGGTGAAGATTGGAATAGAATTTTAAGTCCTGGTGAACAACAAAAATTATCATTTGCAAGATTACTTTATTGGAAACCATTATATGCAGGTAATCATCGTTAAAATTGTTTGTTTTCAAGGGAGTAATTAAATTTTAAATTATTTATTTATTATGATTGTTATTGTTATGTATTTTAGCACTCGATGAAGCTACAAATTCACTTGACTCTGATTTAGAAAAAAAATTCTTCGAGATTATGAAAGAATTAAAGATTACAATGATCACAATTTCACATAATATGGGATTATTAAAATATCAAATTATAGACTAATAATAGTCAAATCAATACTCGCCCTCTCTTAAAATGGCATCACGATGACCATCATACCTATTTTGTAATAAAAGATCAAGCGATATAATATGTAAATATAAAAAAAAAATCAAGTTAATTATTATTATAATAAATGTCGCTAACCAAGTTCTTTCGTTAGGATCAGATAAAACTTCATAAGCTTCTTGAAGAAGAGAAAATTGTCCGGTTGCTTCTTCAATCCTATGATGGTTTTTATCTGGATGCCATTCCAATGCTCTTCTACGATAAGCTTTTTTAATTTCATCTTCGGTTGCATTGGTTTGCACCCCAAGAAGTTCGTAGTAACAAGTACGCATTTTATTAAAATAAAATATTATTTAATATTAAATTTTGATTGTGACCGCAGCAAGCGTCTTTTAAAAAAAAATTTCTTTTTACGTGAATGAGAGATCATTGTGTAAATCATAAGAGATTATGGATGATTATATATATCAACCATTATCTGTTACTGAAGAAAATGCCGACGAACAGGTTTTAATTAAAGATGGAACTCTGTAAGAAAAAGAAAAAAGAAGTTGGTAATTTCTTAAACTTCTTGTAAATAATTTCTGTTCTTGTTAATCTATTTAGTACAGCAAAAAAACCGGTACCAATTGAGGCTATTGAACGTAACCATTTGGAAAACAAGACACGATCATCCTTTGATCGGGTATTTTTACGCAGATTTTTTCGACTTCTCAAAATATTGTTTTCAGTAAAAACACCAGAGGGCAATTGTATTTTTATATGTTTTATGTTGATGTTAACAAGTGCTATCAACGAAATCTTGGCATACTTTGTTGGAAAAATCCCTTCAAAATTTTACACAACGTTGGTTGGAATTGATGGTGCACATTTCAAGACATTATTGGTTTATTCAACATGTATTGTTTTATTAACTGGTTTGGTAAGTGGATTTCAAAAAAAAAATAATTGATTCCAAGAACTAGAATAATGGATAAAATTGATTGACTGATTTTATGTTTTAAATAGGGAAGAAGTATAATGTATTTTGTTGGTGGGCTTTTTGAATTGTTGACAAGAAAAGTTTTAACAAGACATTTACAAAATAAATATGTTAAGCCAGATATATTTTATAGAATACTAATTACAAGACATGATGTTGATAATCCGTATGTACTATTATAATATTGATATTTAAATATTTCATCATCCTTATTATTAATTCTAAATATTATTATTATCAAACCTAGAGATCAGCGTATAACTCAAGATGTAGACAATTTTTCTAAATCATTAAGAATAATTTGTCAAAATACAATACTTGCACCATTTTTAATAATTTATTATACTTACTTGACATGGAATATTAGTGGATATTTGGGACCATTAATCATTTATTTATATTTCATATTCAGTTTGTTTGCTTGTCGATTTTTAATAAATCCGATTTCAAAAATAATTTTCTTGAAAGAATTTCACGAAGGAAATTTTAGGTAGTAGGGGGATTTTTAAAATTTAAATGGTTTTTATTCACAATTAAATTAAAAATTACAACTCAAAAAAAAATTGTTAAATTCTTTAGATTTCTACATGTAAGAATCCGTCAGTTTGCTGAAAGTATTGCATTTAGTTGGGGTGAAAAAGTAGAAGAGGCTAGATTATCAAAATTTTTTGATTCAGTTCTTAATTATCAAAGACAAAGGATTGACAAAGAACTAGTGTTACGATGTATTTATTAATAAAATTTTTTAAAAAATATATATATTGTTTTCAAATTACTAATAAACAAAAAATACAATTTTTATTATAGCTTTAACTGAATCAGTTGCATACTTTGGATCAATACTGAGCTATCTTATTATTTCCATTCCTATTTTTTTAGGCGAATACGATGATACCGATAAAGATGTACTTAGTGGATTAATTAGTTTGGTAATAAATAAAATAATTGTTTTTTTTAGCTTCACAATAAATAAATTATATATCGATAAAAATTATTATTACTTTAGAATGCTTTCTTCACATTATATCTTATTGGTAAATTTACAAGTTTGATCGAAGAATCAACCAATGTTTCGAACTTGGCAGGGTTTACTGCACGTATAGGACAATTATTAGAAGCACTTGATGATGTTAATGATGATATTAATGGTGAATTAAACAATATAAATATTAAAGATCAATCATTAGACCCAAGAGAAGCAACGGGAGAATTCGTAACATCAAGGTGAAAATAATAATATATTAAACAAAGAATCTTATTAAAAATTTTGATTTTAATAATGCTCTTCAAATTTAAATATAATTAAATTGTAAAAAAAAAGATCCGAATCATCATCAATTATATTTGATCAAGTAACATTTGATACACCATCAGGCGCAACACTTTTAAAGGATTTAGAAATTGTTATTGAACAAGGAAAAAATTTAATGTTAATTGGCCCAAATGGTAGTGGTAAAACTTCAATCTTGAGAGTTATGTGTGGTTTATGGCCAACGAATAAAGGTCAAATAACAAGACCGAAAATGAATATGAATTCAAGACAACATTTATTAGTTTATTTGCCTCAAGTTCCTTATTTAGTATATGGATCTTTAAGAGATCAAATCACATATCCAGTGATCAATGATCCTAAACAACAAAATAGTATGTGTATCACACATATATATACTTGCATACTATTATCAATAATTATAAAATGATAATAAGATTTTATTAATTTATATATTAAATTGTTATTATAGTTTCAGATCAAGAATTGAATTCATTATTGGAAAAGGTAGAATTAACACATTTAAAATCTTTAATACAGAATTATGATTCGAGATATGGTGAAGATTGGAATAGAATTTTAAGTCCTGGTGAACAACAAAAATTATCATTTGCAAGATTACTTTATTGGAAACCATTATATGCAGGTAATCATCGTTAAAATTGTTTGTTTTCAAGGGAGTAATTAAATTTTAAATTATTTATTTATTATGATTGTTATTATTAACAGGTTGATTCTTGCAAAACTTTCTTAAATAATAAAATAATTAATTGTATGTTGACTAGCATTAAAAATAATCGAAATGTCCATACTATGAAATCAGATCTTCCATAAGAATACTTGGATTGAGACTATATTTCCTCTAAAGTGTACAGATCCACTACTATTCTTTGGTTTAAAATGGTTATTATCATCAAGTTGCTCATATATTAAAATGGGCCAATTAATAAAAATTAGTGCGAATTTATATCTTTCAATGGTTGGCTGGCTACAATATAAAATGATTTTCTGATTATTTTTCAAGAATCTTGTGTGTGTGTTTAAAATTTTTATCAAGATTTAAAAATTAATCGGTAAAATATAATTGCATGATATTGGTACCATCAATATGCATTAATTAATATATATTATGTTGTCCTCCCTCATACTAACTTAATTCAGGTCCTATCATTTTCATTGAATAAAAAATAATGAACAATTTATCCAATCAAGATGATCATGCTATAAATAATGATTCACCAATACTTCATTATTCTCTTTATTCTCTTAAAAAACTTGTCGTTCGCTATTATTAATTTAATTGAATAACGACTAATAATAAACTTTATATTAAAATGAATGAAAGCTTAGTAATAATTGTACAAATTGTACAAAGTAAATAATTAAAGAAATATCCATCTAAGAAGAATTATATATTCTTTTTTTCATTGTTCCCACGAGGAGTAGTTCTCTATATTAGGTAAATAATATGAGTATCACAGCTTTAATTAGTCACTGACAAATTATAATTTACAGGAAAAAGGCGCAACACTTTTAAAGGATTTAGAAATTGTTATTGAACAAGGAAAAAATTTAATGTTAATT